AAAGTCTCAAAGCCCTAATCATAAATAATGATCTGCAATTCAGAAAATGGTCCAGGAAAATTTAATCTTGTGTATATCTTCTTTGAATTAAAATATCTGAAACCTCTGAATCTGAAATATTTATCCTGATAAACTAGGATAAATGGGAAAGTAAGCAATCTCTAATGTTTGGAGTGAAAATTGAAAATTTCTGAATTCCAGGTATAATAACATCTTCTTTTTTTCTTTTTAATGAATGTTTGTTTTTAATTGTATTGATACAAGATAATTTTCATATTGTACAGTCTGATTACAGTTTCCTCTCTTTCAACTCATCTGATGTCCTCCTAGCCTCTCCTCTCATCCAAAATCCATTTTCTTTCTGTTTCTTAAAATATGATGGACGTTAGCAACTTCTTCCCTGTCCTGTTCAAAATGACACCCAAATGAAACAGTCAGAAGAGGAATCCGAGTGAGGTGTTGGTGGCCACTGGAGTTGCAGCATCTTTGTTCGGTGTTTGTTGCATGGTCAGGTTCAAGTCTTCTGGAGTCATGACTCTGACACTGGTGCAGGAAATATTCTTGCAGACCTCTCTTTTTCTTTTAGTTTTAGATTAGGCTCATGATTTTCATTCATACCACAGCAAAAGTGAATCTGGAGCAGCAGCAAAAACTGTATTTTTGTTTTTTTCTGAATATCTCTTAGTTTGGGGATGCCATATATTAATGTAGCATCAGTCATGAACTGAAATAAACCGTATTCTCTACAGAGTGCAACCCTTTTAAACAGTACAAGACACACCCAGACACAAAGTTATTGTCATAAAGGAAGACAAAGTTGGGCCGGGAGGGAGAGGGGCTGCATCTGGATCTGGCAAAGAGCAAGCAACAGACAGAAACAGAAAGTTTTTCACTTATTTATGTACTTATTTATTTCTTCTTCAATAGTGGGTTGTTAAGGAGAAAAAGGAGAAAGTCATGCTAGTGTAAGTTGGGAAGACCAAACTGGATAGGTTAGCCAAATAATGAATTTCAATTATTAGATTTCGATTTTTTGTCTCAGAAATGATTCAGTTGAATAAAATTGTGGAGTGTAATAAAGATTTTTTGTATTAAAAGTACTATAAAAATGAGTGTATGTTCATTCAAACTTATAGAACTTCATTTTACCCTCTTCTGCGATCTCAGTAAAGTCTCTCAAAATTTGAAAAACAATTTCAAGTATTTGTTAGAAGAATTATTAAAATTACTGAATGCTAGGATCAAACCCAGGGTTTCAGTTGAGTTAGTAAGTACCCTACTATTTACCTATATCCCCAGTAAATTAATATGCCCATTCCATTTGCTAACAATAAAAATCTAATGAGAAATGTATTAAGTCCATGCACCAAAAAGAATAAAATATTGAATGATTAATGTGTTTTTCATAATAAAAGACCTCAACAAATGTACACTGAAAACTGTCTAACATTGTTAAAAGAAGTTAATTTATGAATTAACATAAATATACTTTGCTCATAACTTAGAAATATCATGGTTGATATAATGATTCCATAGTCATTCAGGTACATGCCTACACACAAATGTGCAACCAAACAACAGGAAAAAAAGCACATATAATACCACAAAGTGTCACTAATGAGGAATTAACCCAAGGGATGAAAAATTTGTAGGAGAAAACAACAAAATCCTGCTTAAAGAAACTAATGAGACAACCACACAGAAAGCACAGCCCTTAAAAAGTGGTCTGAAAACTTTCTAGTGTTGTCAATACTTTTCCAAAGCCATCAGTAGAACCAGTTTACATCCCAATGACATATTAATTTTAACATTCCTAAATATCAACGAACTATGCATATGCAAAGCAACCATGAAAAAAAAGCTAGATTACTCCCAGTTCCAAATTTCAAAATCTATTACAAGTCTATGGTGATCCAAGCAGTGTGGTCTGGAGATAAAAGAGTGTTGGAACACTGTCTAAGAATAGTCATTCAAGGAGAATTCTGAGTGCTTCTAGAAATACTCCAAGAAAACAAAACTAGAATTTTATGACTTTAGTTTCTTCAAAAATACAGAATTATTCTTGGAATGTGGCTTTGTGCCTTCTTAGGCATAACAGATATCTGTGAGTTTATCTCATATTATTCATTACAACTGGCTATTGTTATGTGTTCATATTCCTCTATGGAAAAACATATTTTGTCACATGTGTTTTGTCCTTATGATTACACAGTTTACTCAAACTACTCTTTTTAACCCCTAAAGTATAAATTATCTGATATTCTGACTACCATTGTCTATTGCATGAGACTATAGCCCACCTCATTTATAGGTTCCATTCTACTAGTTCCCACTGCCTATATAGAGTGGTAAAAAAACATCAAATAGAAAACCGAGAAACAAGCTATGAGTTGAAGGTTTAAGGGATATTTGAAGAAATTCCCAAGACCATATGTCAGGGGGGATGGACACTCCTTTCAATTAGGATTACTGAAAGTAGACATGCAAGTAAATTATACTGGACCCACAATAGACACTGCATATCACTTATTCCAAGTGAGTCAAATGCCCAGAATCAAGATTCTTTTTTAAAAAAAAAGTGTTTATGAGGAAAAAAAATACCCCAAACTCACAGCCCCACAAGTGGTGATGACTTATATACAGTAACACAAAAACACGGGCAGCCATAGAAAAATAGAGAAGTTTCACCATGGGTACACTTCTTTCATGTGAGCAAAACTGTCCATTTATGAGGGTTTATACCATTGACTTGAGCAGATCTATAATCACCTGGGAGTCAACCTCCTGGTCATGAGGTCCAAGAGTTTCTAGACTGAGATAAGAGAGGAGGAAGGATACACCCTGGCTCTAGCTGCACCATTGTATGGACAGACTTCCAGTGTAACCAGCTGACCATCACTTCTGCCACCTCAATTCTCCGTCATGATTCACTTTATGATAGTCTGTGAGGCATATAGCCCCCGTCTCCTTTAAGTTGTTATTATCATGTATTTTGCCTCAGCAATGAGAAAAGTAATTGCTGAATCACTGAGGAGAATATATTATAACCATAGACAATACAGATAACTCTTCTTAGCCCACAATGACAACCTGCTAATGAAAAGAGTCATGTATTGTCTACACAGGTCTATGGAAACACATGCAAATTTGTACCAGTACTCACCTTCATTAGTCAATAGACACATTTAAACCAACACTACCATCAGCTGCTAATTATGCAGAACGTTTTATGAACAAAAGAAACCAGACAAGACAAGTGTTGGTGAAGATTCAATGATTTAAAATCTCAATGAATGTGGTATAACTGCAGAAAAAAAGAAAAGAAAAGAAGCTACTCGGAAATAAAATATCCAAGCTGGTAAGGTAACTTGAAGATAGATATGATTGTTTCAGTTTATAAATGTTTGTAAACTTTACAAAAATCGAAAAAGTTTACCAAGTGAGTGTTAACATTCCCTATCTACACTGATATCCTGAAATACGGAAGTTATGACCTCTGACTGAAACTATTCATAATCTTTTTTATACTTTTCATATGTTTTAGAATGAGTCCATGATTATAATGACTTAATTCCATTATTTCAGTCACTATACATATGTGCTCAGAAAAATTTCATGTTCAAAGGAACGTTAGCTATCAACAGACAATAACATAGTCTAGTTCCTGAAATGTACATTTGTTGCTGTTGTTTTGATTTTTTGAGACAGGGTTTCCCTGTGTAGCCTCAAGCTGTCCTGTAATTTGCTCTGTAGACCAGGCTGGTATCCAACTCAAAGATCTGTCTGCCTCTGTTTTTGTAGTGCATGTGTTAAAGCTTTATGCCTCCACTGGACCCAGCAGAATATTTCAACTGAACACTGATACTGAACATCAATGTAAAAGTCCTTACTATTTTATATGAGACTAATTGATCTTGAAAATAATATTATATAATTAATCATAAATAAGAAGGTTTTTAAATAATGAGAATAAAATAAATGGACAACATTTTGAGAAACAGCAAGAAAACAGATCTGAATATGTTTCTCACACTATAACAAAAATTTCACATGAGTTATGTAAATATAAACATTAAATTTAAGAGTTATTGAAGACAAGAAAAGAGAAAAATTTGTGATTTAAGAACAGACAAATAATATAGGATATAAAAAGAAAAACTTATAGGAGAAAAATATATCAATTTAACTTCATGAAATAAAAATATTTTCTTCTAAAATATAGTATTGAGATAATAAAATTATAAGCCCTACTACTGACTGAGCATGGTTCTCAGACAGAAGTGTCCGGTGGGTTTTAGAACTTCTTTAAATTCTTTTAAAATATGTATCTTTGGCATTCTGTGGGTTATAAGACTTGAACTCATTTACTAAAATCCTTAAAATTTTTCAGAGAAAGTAATTAGGAGGCTTGGAGTATATTCACCTAGAAATTCTTAATTAAAGTGAACGAAGAGGCGAGGAACCCAATAATATATTCCTCTACAGAGATCAAGATAATTGGGTAAATTAAAGGCTTATCTTTCCATCTCTGCAAGAGGGAATATTTTCCCAAAAGAGAAACTTGTATAAAATTTTGAGTCTGTTGGAAACCAAAGGCATGTTATATACAAGTATAAATGCAACCCTTTCAATTCCTTTCTATATTGAAATGCTATTCATTTGCGAAGGGAGTAACTATACTTCTAACCCACCTATAAGCAAGTGGATTAAGCCATTTAAGTCACATTAAAAACCTAACTTTTCTGGCAGTGTGTGGATCGTAAAGTTATTTCACATGCTGTTGGAGAACACTCAAATGTCTAATCACAAAATATCATCTGTACTTCAGAAGTATTGCTAGAGTATATCAGGTATTAAGTCTTAATTGCATTCTCTGACTAGAAACAAAGAACCAATACTTTGGAATTCAACGGTGTTCTTCTATAAACACTGAAAATTAAAGGTAAGAAATCTCTGAATTTTTGATGATATGTTGATTTTCTTCACATATGAACACCCCCCGTACTATGAGATAGCCTGCAACATACCATTTTTTCCGTCTTGTGTGATTCAGGGACTTAAGTGAAATTATACAAGAAAATGTTTATGGAGAATGTTAAAAATTGTAGTAGTCATCCAAGTTGCAGGATACTTCTCCTTGGACAAAACTTACACTTTTGTATGTTCATTATTTTCTCTATGTCTTTGAGTATTTAAAATAATTCTCTTAGCTGTATCCCTAGATATAGCTCAGACAAATTAGTATCTATGGTCAGCTTTAGTTGCCAGCACATATGCCTCCAGATTTGTTTGTGTGGGGAAGAATCTTATGAAGGAATAAACTATGTGATATAGAATGTTTCTCTTCCCATCTATTCTCATTCATCATTTTTCTATAAATTATATTTACATTTTTTTTTACCAGTGTCCTTACCTGTGTATGGTAATTTGGCTATACTTTATACAACTTAGGTGTTCAGGAGTGGCCATTCTAACAGATTTCCAACCCACACATCATGGAACCATGATAGAAAGAGGGGATCATTTTCTAATGGGATAATTTTTCCTGTTTCTACAGATTCATGTAGAGAAACATGGCTTCTGAAAATGTTTCTTTGGTGACCGAATTCATTCTGGTAGGATTAACAGACCAGCGTGATCTCCAAATACCCCTGTTCTTTGTGTTTTTAGCAATGTATATTGTCACTGCATTTGGGAATTTGTGTTTGATAATTCTAATTGTACTAAATTCACACCTTCACACCCCAATGTACTTTTTCCTCTTTAACTTGTCCTTCATAGACCTCTGTTATTCTACTGTGTTCACGCCAAAAATGTTGATAAACTTTATATTAAGTAAGAATGTCATTTCTTATATGGGATGTTTGACCCAACTCTATTTCTTTTGTTTCTTCGTCATTTCCGAATGTTATGTCCTGACAACAATGGCCTATGATCGCTATGTGGCTATCTGTAATCCTCTCTTGTACGCTGTTGCCATGTCCCCTAAATTATGTTTGAGCCTTATGCTTTGTACATACTTGATGGCATTTTCTGGTGCCATGGCTCACACAGGATGTATGATGAGACTGACCTTCTGTGATGCAAACACTATCAACCATTACTTCTGTGACATCCTCCCTGTGATGCAGCTCTCCTGCACCAGCACTTATGTTAATGAGCTTGTAGTGTTCATTGTGGTGGGCATAAACATCATCGTGCCCAGCATCACTATCTTTATCTCTTACGGCTTCATTCTCTTCAGTATCTTCCGTATCAACTCTGCCGAGGGAAGGTCCAAGGCCTTCAGTACCTGCAGTTCCCATATAATTGCTGTTTCTCTGTTCTTTGGATCAGGTGCATTCATGTATCTTAAACCATCTTCTTCTTCATCTATGGATCAAGGAAAAACCTCCTCTGTCTTTTACACCAATGTGGTTCCCATGATGAACCCCTTAATCTACAGTTTGAGGAACAAAGATGTAAAAATGGCCCTGAGAAAAACTCTGAGAAGATGGAAATTTTGAATGGAGAATACATGATTCTGCCTGTGCCAACACAGAATGTGGGTACTTTATAGTTACTTAAAATGCTCCCTGGAATAATATTGAGAATACTTTTCTCCCTAGGCATTATCCTGTTTTAAATTTAGTGTTTAAACTTGCCATATGATATCTTGGAATATAGATACATTCTATCTTAATTAATGCAACTCATTTCTTTCATATTCTAATAAAGGAAAATTGAATCATTTTAAATTTTGTTTTTAGTACTTTTAGAGTAAGTCTTTTTCTTTTCCTTACCATTTCCAAGATTCCTCATGAATTTTCTCTTGCATTTAATTAAGCCTATTATTAATGAATACTTTTTTTTCACTATTCCATTTTCAATTTGAAGTCCTAGTGCTTTCAGAAAAAAAGAGAACAGTTTGTCAATTGATCAAGTAGAGTAACACAAGTCTGATCTTTGGTCACAAGTCTGATCTTTGGTCAGTGGTTTTGAGTTTTTATATTTGCTCATAATATGTCTTTGGGAATGTAAGTCAGAATAATGCCTTGTCTCCTTTCTGTAGATTCTCCTTTGTAGTGTATATAACTTCTTTTTTAAATTAGTTAATTTATTTATTTATTAGAAATTTCCACCTCCTCCCATTTCCCTCCCAGTCCCCCCACTTCCCTTCCCCCTCCCTCTCCAGTCCTAAGAGCAGTCAGGGTTTCCTGCCCTGTGAGAAGTCCAAGGTCCTTCCCCTTCCATCCAGGTCTAGGAAGGTGAGCATCCAAACAGACCAGGCTCCCATAAAGTCAGTCCATGTAGTAGAATCAAAACCCAGTGCCATTGTCCTTGGCTTCTCAATCAGCCCTCATTGTCAACCACATTCAGAGAGTCCGGGGAGACCCACATTGGAGCACTGGACTGAGCTCCCAAGGTCCAAATGAGGAGCAGAAGGAGGGAGAACATGAGCAAGGAAGTCAAGACTGTGAGGGGTGTGTCCACCCACTGAGACAGTGGGACTGATCTAATGGGAGCTCACCAAGGCCAGCTGGACTGGGACTGATGTATATAACTTCTTAAACCATCTGTCAGATCCATCACAATTTGTACCTGCTCCTTCTGTTTTATGCTTGTATTGGAAAGCATAAAAGACACCATCAGTCTTTCCTCTTTGCTACCATTCACTTTCTGTGTATAACAGATATTGACACCCAGAGATTAATAAATCAATGGGATTCATTAATAATCCCATAGACTAAGCTGTAAAGTTTCTTATTTTCCACAATTTCAAATGAACTGTTAGTTATATTTGTATTCTGAATTCATGTTGCTTTTATTTAATGAATTAAAACTATGTGGCAATAGTTTCATTTTCAAATTTGACTATGGTTTATTTTTGTGTGGTATGTATATTATCCTCTATGGTTACAGTTTTCATTTTATTAAAGATTATTGGTTTGTAGCAGCTGACAAAAACCTATTGTACTAGAAAGTTGAGTTTATCTATAATATTATGAAAAAATATATGTTTTCATTGCTCTGTAACACAAAAAAAACAAGATAGATGGTAGGATAAATAAATAAATAACCCTCCTCCCTAAAATAAGTCTTAAGCCAGGAATTAAATAGGCTAGGTATTCAGATCCTGTGATTACAGATATTGTTTAAGGAAATTTGAAAATCATCCCCGTCCTGAGTGCCACATAACATCAGCTATCCTCAATGCCTGCACATCAGCAGACTTTTGGGTAATAGGAACTCTTTCACTGGGAGATGGATATTGGCTGCATTTATAGGAAATAGAGCACAGTAAAGACAGTTCAGGAGAGCATGTGGTCCTGGAGACTCTTGGAAGAAAGACAGAGATTTTTGTCTTTTGTACATTGATGTGTACCCGGATAGTTTCAGACATTGCAGATAACATTCCAGGACGAATTTGACACCCTTCCAAATTTTGAGGTCAGTTCCTTGGCAGGGTGGAGATAATGAAATCTCACTTAAGTTCTTGATCTATAATTCAAACTTCAGAAAATTGTTACAACACAAACAGATGGATAAGGTATAAATGGATGAAGTTTCTTTCAGGAAGAATTACATAGCCATTCGCTGATGAGGCCTCCTGTCTATCTCTTTTTTTAATGGAACTGATCTAAAACGACGGTAAAGTTGAGACCTCCCCGAGCTGTTGATCATAACCAGTCTAACCAGAGCAACTTAGGAAAATCAAAATTGGCAGAAAGTATAGAAGAAGGAAGAGATGAGGCAAGCTAGATTAAAACTCAGTGATAAAGTACTACTTTATGTGTGAATTACTCAGTTTGATCATCAGTAAAATGCATAAAAAGTAATACATGTAAATACTCTATTTATAATAACACATAATCATAAGTTGTTTGTTTTATAGAACTATGCTGTGGATTCTTTATTCAAAGACATTAATGCCAATTTTCGTAGTAAAATGTTATAAAACTTTAATTATATTGTGATTTATGTGATTAATAATGTGTTCAAGAAAACACCCAAGTACAAAAGATTCATCTTACTGGAAATAATCTAGCAGAATCAAATCAAAAGAAGCAATGGGACATATACTTAAATATTCTCTGCAGATCTGTATACCAGATCCAAACATTGATTTTATATCTAATTTTCAGTCTGGATTTTTTTATTTCATCAGTTAAACTGTTTTATCTCAATAAGGCCTTTCCTTGATGAACTTTTTCAAATATGTGTCTATGCTAAGAGGTTCAATTTCTGTGTGTGTGTGTGTGTGTGTGTGTGTGTGTACGCACACATATGTATGTGTGAAGAAATCCATAGAGTCTGGAAGAGGACTCTGGATTCTCTACAGCAAGAAAACAGATGATTGTGTCTTACTTGCGATGGGAGTTGGGAGCCAAATGTATGATATATATACATATACAGGAAGATCCCTTAATCATTTATCCATCTTCCAATTCCCTCAAGCATGTGCTATTATTATCACTGTTATTGTTTTACACTGCTGGATATAGAACTTAGGGATTCACATGCACTAGGCAAGTATGACACTTTAGAGGACCATCGATAACACATTAATTTTTTCATTTTTGAATGTGCTTGTTTCTATATTTCTGTAGGAGAAATATGGCTGGCATTTCTCAGGTCCAGACTGTTATTTATTCAAAGAGTCATGAGCTGTGCTAGGAAAATAACATGACAGTTTTAGTTGTGGATCAGAGTAAGTGTGATGTGGGTACCTCAGGTAATATTTAGAGGGCTTCCACTATTTCTTTAAAATTCCAATTAAGAAAGCTGGAATCAGGTAGCTGTCTCTTGCACTAAGACCTGACTTTAGAGTCACGAAAGCCACTTACCCTTTCCTGTGGCCACCCTTGCTTACCCCTAAGCTCAGTCTTTGGACAGACCGCAGGAAAGCAATCCCAGCTGCTTCTCAGGCTTAGTCTTCCTCAGCAGACATTTATTTCACTGTAGCTTCCATATATCATTTAGGGTTCATGTTTAACACACAAAATATTGTTCAATTTCCATAAATGTAATAAAATATAAGTACGGAATCCCAATGAGGTATTTCAGTTCCAATTCAAGTTCGTAGGATACTCTGTACTTAGTTACTTTGTGTTGAGTCATACAATACTGTGTTAGAGTATTTTGTAGCTCATCACCCTAGATAAGCATTGGTCTAGAGAACTAGATACACATAAGTTAGAAGGTACAGCCTTCACATGCATGCATACATATTTAAATGTGTATCTATATGCACCTGGGTATGCACATACACACAAAGTATATACAACACAAACCCCTATAAAACCAGTACATAGACCACATACATGTGTAGACACATGAAAAATTGAGAAAGTAAAATGTGCTGTAAAAAACCAGGTAATTCTGAAAATAACAAAATCTTAAAAGAATGAGAGTATTATGTAAAATAAGAAACAAAGACTCTATGATAAACATTTCATTGACAGCCCTTTTGTAATTTTTATTTAATACAGCAATGAAAGTTCTAGAAAAGAGTCGTTAGGTAAAAAAAAAATCAACAACTGCTATTGTGCTATTAAAATAGATATCTTGAAGGATTATTTCTCTTTACAGATAATATGGCCCTCTCTTTCCAAAGTACTAATGAACCAAACAAAAATCCTATAATTCATACAAGCACTAAGCAAACTATAGATATTAACATTTAAATATCAATTGCATATAAATAAACTAACCATGAGAAGTACGAAGTGGAAATGAAGAAATTAAACATATACACTAATGCATCCTAATGCATACCAACAGAGAGCAGAAACAATAAAATCTACCAATATTTTTGAAAGAAATGACTAAGACATGCATATAAGCAAACATATCCATATTAGTGGGTTAGAAAATAATATTTTAAACATCAATGCATAAATTAACCTCTACATGTTTAGCTTAGATGAACTACCAAGCAAACAAGAAACAAGAATTCACTTAATCATGGGATGATTTTTGTTTGTTTGATTTTAGTAACATTGGACTTATAACATTAAAGAGATGTTTTCACTTCTCTTCAACTTTTGGGAAACGTTTGAAAAATATTGCTATTAACTATTTTTGATAGGCTGGAATACAACATTCACTCTTGTTTTGTTTTGTTCTGAGTGGCTGCCAGGTGTTCAAAATATGACAAACACAGTCAGTGCTCTGAATCCACAGAGACTGAAACCAACTGTACAGCAGTATCAAAATAAGTTGCATAATGATGTTTCACATACTTCTTTCCACTCTGGGGAGATGCTAGGTGGTAATGTGGCTAGTGGCTTTCATATCTCCTTTCTTTGACACTCATTGGGTAGGAGTGTGGTGATCGTATGTCCATATCCATATATCGAATCTTACTGGAACTGAATTCAAGGCTATTGAATCTTAATTATCATCAATATTCCAGCATAGTCTAGCATTCTAGATAGTAGCCAAATATCTGCTTTATCAAAGGATGATTTAGTGTGTTGGAAGTATCATGCACTTCTGTCTTCTATAGGCAGAAATCAGTAGG